TAAGACATAATTGATGGATGGAGGAACCGGGATTTGGAATCTAAAGCATGTTGGAAAGAATGAAAAGAAAACACAAAAGGAAGACTGTATCTACAAGTAAAAAAAAATTGTATTTTTATTAAAAGAAACTAATTTACTATTTTCTTTTAATCACACAGGATGTTAGTTAACCAAAACTAATCTCAAATCAAACAGAAAGTCAGACTGGGATAATTTTTTCATAAGTAGACTTTTTCTTTTCTCACATTTGGAATTTAGGTTCATATAAAAAAATACATTTTCATTTCTAATTTATTTCAATCCATTCCATCCTGTTTAACATACAATATATGAATTATATTCAGAGACAAAAAAGAAACTCTGCAGTTGGAGCTTCCGAAATGTGGATCCAGTCATTCCCACTTTGTCCGTGCAGTAAAGATGACATGGATCAATGGATGCCTCAAGTTTTCTGATTGTTTTAGCTTCAGGTCTAGTTTGACATACTGCATAACTGTTTTAAAATGTAAAATTGAACATAAATAACAAAACATTGTCTTTTTTGCTTTTTAAAATATCCTTTTTTTTTTTAAATAAAAGTTGTAATTAAACCAAATGAACTTTATTAGACTGATCAGACTGTCCAGAAATCTTATTAATCTGGAGTCTAAATATAAGGCAACAAAGTCCAATTTATCTGAGCCATTTTTGAAAATGGGAAAGACCAAAGAATGGCTCATTTAATGTCAGTGCAGCAGGCAGAGCAGTAATTTCAAAGGAAAACTACAGAGAACTGTGATCAGCAAAGACTTGTTTATTTCAGCCTCATTTAAAAGAACGGCTAAAAAGCAACTGCAGCAAAGATAAACATCTTACAACAGGGGTGTGAAATTCCAGTTCCTGAAGGCTGGTTTCAACTTTTAGATGTGCCTTTGGTTCAACACACCTGAATCAAGCAATTAGATGATTGAGAGGACTCTGGAGCAGGCATCCCCAAACTCGGTCCTCAAGGCCCCCTGTCCTGCAGGTTTTAGAGGTTTCTCTGCTTCAGCACAGCTGGTTATAATGATTGCAGTAGACCAAAAGCCTGTTAATCAGCTTTCAATTAAAATCAGCTGTGATGGAGCAAGGAAACATCTAAAACCTGCAGGACAGGGGGCCCTGAGGACCGAGTTTGGGAATGCCTGCTCTGGAGGAACCGACTGCTTACTAACGAGGTAACTCAACCGTTTGATTCAGGTGCGTTGGACCAAGGATGGATCTAAGAGTTGCAGGATACCGGCCCCCAGGAACTGGAATAGCCCACCCCTAGTCTGAGTAATTGTTTTAATGCAACCAGTTTCTTTTTGGAGTAAAGCTATTATTAAATGTACAAAATTAACCCCTTTAATTTCTTGAGTGTAGTATATAATAAATAATATAATAATATAATATAATAAATATAACAGGGTTTATACAGGAATGAGTAACTCTAATTGAATGCTATTTTA